AGGCTAAGACGAGGCGGCGCGGAGGCGGAAGGAGGCGGTACGGAGGCGGAAGGAGCGGCGGGCGCAGAGCGAAAAACAAGAACCCCACACAGTGATGTGGGGAAAAAACATAGATATGCCAAGGTGGCAAACATTCAGGGTCTTCGCTGTCATACTGTCATACCAATCCCTATCCTCATACAAGAAACAATGCCTTTCTGTCGCTGTCAAGGTGTTCAAAAAACATGCTGCTTGTACAAAGCTGACTGCCAATCGGTGTGCTCCACATGTTAAACATGCCTCTGTGCGACCAAAGTCGATAACGGAGGTCCTGGGCTACAGCGCGGAAAGAGTTTGGTAAGATGAAGTTGCGTCCAATGAAATTGCAAATTGATGAGGGGTTCTGCACAGAAGTGTCCCAAGCGCCTTCCACACTTGTTCAACTTGTTCCTGTTCAAAGAGTCCGCCCCCTATCGCAAGATACAAAATGCCGTTTGTGCAATGCCGCTGGAGGCCTACTAGTCCATCCAATGGCCCGACTGAAATTGACTAAGTTAGGCTATAGAGATATGAGTTGATATGAGTCACGAGCAGAGCAAGCTTGATCCGATCTTAATTTGGGCTTAGACATGTCACATGTCCACAAAACAATAGAAATTTGGGGTAAAGCAAGTTACACCCTGCGCCAGAGAAGCTGAAAGTTCCAGTTTCTTGAACTAAGATTTGGCGTGATGCCTGGGTCATGCAACTTCTCAAAAGCCACAGACCTGAAGTCGAACAATCTCTCCAAAGTGACAATTCCTCTCTGCAAAAACGAACACTAAATCTTGAGATCTGAACCGACATGGGCCTTCCGTTTCGCCTGATATGCGCGTGAAAGGCAAAGAGACGTTGGCATACGTTGGCTCACGCCATGTCCAAAGCCTCTTCCGTTTGAATGCAATCCCTCAGAATCAGCCGGCCTTGGTGGGAAGTCAAAGCTGCTATGGCTGCAAGCCAAAGTCCACAGCAGAATCAATGCTCTAAGGTTGCTGCCCAAGTTGGCTTTCAACTTTGCCTGGTACACAAGGCATTTTGATCACATCATCCAAGTCTATGATCCCTTGATGACATGAATGTGACCTACCACAATCAAACAAATTCAATGGTTGCATGCAGCGAGAGAGACCACTTGCGATGCCGGAAAATCTCCGCAGAACAAAGCAACCCAACCACAACAGCGGATGTTTGCTTTTTTCCTGAAAGTCCTTTCCCAACAGAAATCGCCTTATAGCCTTGTAACAATTGCTGTTGCTGTTGCTGCTAGTGCTGGTGCTGTGCTGCCCCTCCAACTCACCTCACTTGCGAATTGCATCACCTTTTTGCCAAAGAGAAGTGATGAAGGTCACGTGTGCGGAACAGAACAGAATCCGATCCACGCATGTCATGTCTACTGCATATTCTATAGGCAGTTTCGGACTTGAAGCTGACAGCCAAGTGTGCAGCTTGACGATGTACATGTATAGAAAGAGACACAAATTGAAACGTCCTCTTCTGTGCCGGAATATGTTCATTAGGCATCATTAGGCTACGCGCCAGATACAAATGAACAAGAAACATGCAAATTAATGTAAATTAGACAAAGACAAGAACATCAGTCCTCAGGGTAAACTTCGTAAGGTCCTCAAGGTAACCATCGTCACCAAGACCAAAAAGCAAGGGAGCAACTGCTCAAGATTGCCCACCAACATCGCCTTCTATTGGTCAGCCCATGGCGCCTCTTCGTCTCGCTTTTTCGCAACGTATTCTTCCCAGGCGTCGTTCACGATTTCTCGGGCATCCTCACCATACCAAGCAATGTTGGGTGCCCAGAAAACCGAGCTGTAAAAAGCTTATCCCACATGCTAGCACATTCGTACACATGCGTAGTCACGTAAATGTTCCAAGGTTTGGCTACCAAAAAAAGTATACCCATCCTGAAACCGTCCAAACTAAACCCACGAAGGCCCATGCCACTTCTCAAAGGCCTCTTTGCATTTGCTCTTCTCTGTCCTGTGTTTTATCATTCTTCCCTTTCATGTTCTCAATTCTTGACATGAAGTGGGTTTCTTTCTCTGGGAATGATTTGTTGCTACCTCCTTGTGCTTGCTGTCCCTTTCTTACATTTACTTAAGACACAATTCCTTGAAAAACATGTTTGAAGAAAGACATACTCACTTGTTTCCTTGCTTGGGCTGCTTTCTTACTTACCTCGTACTAACTTGCTTACGTACGTACTTGCTCAATTACTGAATTCATTTTGCTTTGCATTGCCTTACCTTGGTCTACCTTGCCTTACTTTACTCTGCCCAATTCTCATTGCTTTTTGAAGCTGCTGAATCCTTACCTTTTCGCCATTTTCCCACTTCCTCCGAAATCTTTATATATCCTGTTCCAAATTCGTAATTGGAAAAATAAAAGTCTTAGATTCTTGCGAATCCTTTACCCGTGCCATTTGCAAAATCTTTAGCTTGTTCCGAATTTTTACCTCGCCCAAACCACCCCACTTCTTTTGCGAGTTTCTCCGCCACTGGCTATTTTGCCCGTGAAATTCTGTACCCTCTCTCCAATCCTTCGTGAGTTGGCACATTCAACTGGATGCCATCTAGTTTCCTTTATCTTATTTTCCGTCTTGAGAGTGCTCTGTCCGGATGTCCGATGTGGATACTGTGTACTGGGATGATTCTGCACCGTGATTCACACTGTCGCGCTCTTTTATTTTCGGCCTGTTGCCAATTAGGTGCCTGAATCGCTGGTGGTGGGCCTACCGGGGCCATGCCTCCGAATTTGTTTCCATGTCTTGGTGCCAAGAAAAATCCCAAAAATGATGAAACCATATGAAACCAGTGAAAGCGTCTGTTTCCAAAAATATGATAAGGTTGAAGCCTTGTTTACATGTTTTTTTGTGGTTACGGAGGAATCTTTTTGTGGCTAGAGTCTCAACCCTTCAGGGCTAGATAATTTCTCGTGTCTGGACAGCTTGATTGCTGGACAGAAAAAAAAACACTTGAGCAACTATAAATTTTCCAGGGTTTACTACCCCAGAAGGGTATACCGGTATACCCCTGACCCCGAAGCAGTTTATATCTACGAAAACCCCAGCGTCTCTGACTGATTGGCTGACTTCTATGTTTTCAACACACAACAATCTAAGGCTGGAATACTGTGGCGAACGAATCAACCACCCGTCTTTTAGTGGAACATCCAAGTTTGTTTCGGGGCATTGCGCGCCCGTCGAAACTCCAAACCTGCGAAGTTGTAAAAACTCGAGGGCCCCCGTGGGCAATGTTTTTGGTTCGGACTTCATGCGGGTCCATGCAAAGTGTAGGAATTCAATCATATTCAAACGTTCACAAAGAATGCTGGGGGATGTCTGCCGCCTTGAAAACAGTTCAGGAATGCTTGGCCAATCCTCCTGCAAGCTGCCACCAGCGAACTCAAAACAAAGCATTGCTGGCACTGCTCTTTTGTAAAGTACATCTGCCTCCTGCCGAACATGCAAAGGGCCATCCACGAACTCCCCAAACTTGAATAATCTACACTTTGCATAGTATGGAAACCGCTGTCCTGGTGATCCTCATCCAAGTCCTAGTGATGGTTTGACAAAGCTTCAGCAGAGTTTCTGAAGTATCTTCTGACGCATCTGCAAATCTGTCCTCTACAAGGTCATCTGGCGACGGAGGCGCTGTATAGCCAGACAGCCTGACATGATTGTGAGTGAAATTGTCTGTGACCAAAATATACAGGTTGGTGTGCCAGCCTACGATTGCTGACCGGTGTTGCGATGCAATCCCCTGACCTCGCAATCGGCTCAGTCGAAATCAATCACGATTAAATGAATTTGCAATGATTTGCATGGGTCAAGACTTTCTGAGATTGCTGAAAACCCAGGCGGGAACGAGTCGGTGGAGTCATTGGCCTTCTCACCGAAATCCCGAGCTGCAACGAACGAGGAATCTTTGTCCTGGAGCGATTCGGAAACCGAAAAAACACGGAAAAGGGCATTTGAAAAGAGATCTGCAGGAAACCAGCCTCGTCTCTGAGATTGGACCCCTGCAGGCCTCAAACAAATCAAAGAATCCAAACACAAACAAATGTACCTTCCAACAACTGAGACCTGCACAAGACCAAAAACCCCGGAGGCACTCCATCGCCTCGATTGCCTAAAATGGCTGTGTTGCCACTTGTCTCTGCAAATTTTGTTCGTTGAGTCTCCCTCTCTGCCTTCATCCAGGTTTGAAGTTTTGCCGAATGCAGTACAAGAAATTGTCAAACGCGTTGCACCGCAGAACTCTTGTTGTCGAAGTTGTGGGGTGACATGCTGTGAGTACTGCATGAACATCTGGAGCTGTCAAAGAAAAATCTTGAGCCACAGAAACTAAACAAATTCGACATCGCAACAAAGCAATCCATAGACAGCCACGCAATGCAACCTGTGACAGTTGATAAACACGGTTGTCGTGCTGTGAAAAAGATATTCAATGTTTCACTTGTTTTGAATTTGTGTGGATTGTAATTTGAATAATGTCTGAAATGCTGCCACATGATTGAATTAACTTGCCCCAAACACCTGCACAAGGAAAGTTCTTGCGTTGTTCAGCCACATATGATACAACCACCGTCACCGTCGCAGCATTGTGAATTGCCAGGAAAAAACATCGGTATAGCATCCCCAAGGTGGGTAGATGACCAGGGTACAAGGGATCACTGGGATGAAACTCCAAGGTCTCCAAAGTATTCCTCAAGTGGTCTTGTCTGAAAGCGGGGTACCGCCATTTCAACCGATTATCATGATTTCAATGATATCTCATAATTGTTCATGGCAGTTTGGAATAAAACATAATATACCCCCTGCTTTGGACAAGCAAAAGCGGAATTACTGGCCCATGGGCAGCACACGAAGGGGTCCAAATTCCTTGCTGGAGGAGAGGGAAGCGGTGCCCGGTTGTTTCGTACAATGGCGATTTTGTAGACAAACAAATTCTGCGACACACGGACGCACATTTTTCAGTATTCATTTGCGATCCAAGCCCAAGTTTGATGCTGCTGCGCCTATCTGGCAAAAAGAGGCTGGAAACACGCACGAGGTTTTGCATGATTCACTCTGGCACGACAACGATCATTGACCGGAACTCTTTCATACAATCATACAATCTGATGTTCAACATGTTCAATGCGGGCAAGCTCTCCTTGGGCATTTGAAAGCACACGATTGTCCAATGATATTTCCCGACTGCAGCCAATCTTGGCCAAGTTGAGTTTCGTATTCGCTGGGGCCCATCCACGTCATCCAGCAGAAGCAAACGACTGCCCACACGTATCTTGCCGCTTGACTGAAGTTCACCAACCATGCAGACCACCAAAAATGAGGTCCTTGACCACTGGCTCCCAAAGAAGTCATTGCAGATCACAATCTTGGCGCGAAGCGCATGATTTCCACCTCCCTCACAGGTTTACATGTACCACGAGGTCTGTGATTGTAGTCAAGGCCCCTGCTGCTGCGAAGTGCAGACGTTTGCCGTTTGCCATGTGGCTTCGTGACAATCTCTGTCAAGGCCACCACGCAATCTTGATAAACACGCCCTGAACGGCGAGGCCAAAACCGGAAGGAATCGCAAACCCGGCATTGATCAGTGTAGTTTTCCAGGTCATTTGGGTCACCTGAGTGAAGAATGTGAAGGAGGTCATGGACCAAATAGTCTTGCAATCTTTCATCAGCGGCATGGAACAAGTGGGCCGCCAATTTGCAAAGTACATGGCGCACTGCTGGATTTTGATAGCTGTAGGCTCGTAAGCTTGCCAAGATATCCATGATGGGGACAGGTTTGATCTCCCACCAAGACTGCAAGCGCCCACGAAGAAACAAGGACCGGAGACAGCGCACACGAGCGCGAAGTCCGTAGCTCATCTCTTGGAGAAATCGGTTCTTGTCTTTGGCCTTCAAGAGGTGTCCCAGGGCTATGAAAGCCTCTGGCCTCCGGTTACAAGTCATACAATGGCAGATATTCAATATTAATATGCAACTAAAGATGATCAAAGTGAAGCCAATCAAAGTGAGATTTATGATATGTCTGATATGTGAACAAATCTACAAATCCAAACCAGCCTGGTCGGATCCACGAGGTAAGCGAAATGGTCCACAAGCACCTGAACCACGGTTCGGAAAATTGCCTCCCCCCCGCACTCGATCGAACCATCGCTGGCTTTCCCATCACTCCAACAGAATTCAAGAAACTTTCCAGAAATGCACCGAAACTATAGAATGCGACAAGAATCCAAAACCACGACATAGATACGACTAGCGACTGCTATGGGGCCTCTGCCGCTGAAAATTGACGGCGGCATGCCCGGAGTGAGCACACGTCCTCAACCTGTGACGTGGAGGCGTGAAATGACGGTAGATGTGAGGTTGTGCCACGCCTGCCACGCAAAATGCCGCGGCGTCACGGGCGCCTAACCAAGTCCAAGCGCGCCACCCAGTGCCATAAGTGCCACGCCTGCCACGCAAAACGACGGTAGATGTGAGGTTGTGCGACGCCTGCCACGTGAAATGACGGTAGATGTGAGGTTGTGCCACGCCTGCCACGCAAAATGCCGCGGCGTCATGGGCGCCTAACCAAGTCCAAGCGCGCCACCCAGTGCCATAAGTGCCACGCCTGCCACGCAAAACGACGGTAGATGTGAGGTTGTGCCCAGCCTGCCACGTGAAATGACGGTAGATGTGAGGTTGTGCCACGCCTGCCACGCAAAATGCCGCGGCGTCACGGGCGCCTAACCAAGTCCAAGCGCGCCACCCAGTGCCATAAGTGCCACGCCTGCCACGCATGCCACGCAAAACGACGGTAGATGTGAGGTTGTGCGACGCCTGCCACGTGAAATGACGGTAGATGTGAGGTTGTGCCACGCCTGCCACGCAAAATGCCGCGGCGTCACGGGCGCCTAACCAAGTCCAAGCGCGCCACCCAGTGCCATAAGTGCCACGCCTGCCACGCATGCCACGCAAAACGACGGTAGATGTGAGGTTGTGCCACGCCGGCCACGTGAAATGACGGTAGATGTGAGGTTGTGCCACGCCTGCCACGCAAAATGCCGCGCAAAACGACGGTGTTGTGTGTGTGAGTGTGTTGTTTGTTTGCGTGTGTGTGTGTGTGAGTGTGTTGTTTGTGTG